TTCTAGGTTTTTCATATTGGCACACTATTTACACTATCTTGAATATCATGTTTTGAAGAGTGCACACTAAGGAGTTATATATGCATGTTGAAGCAAGTTTGGGGGATTTGTGAAATACATGTCTTGCTAATCTCATTCCCTCTCTCGTTTTTCAACATGAAGTTTAATGGATATTATGTTTACACCTTTGCAGGATGCCTCCACAGGAAAAGAGAAGGTTGGTTCCACATCTGACACAGCCCAAACTAGGGAGCCCGAAGGGGGTGTTAGGCGATTTCTATCTTCAGTACGCCAATATTGTCCGTGAGTGGGCATTCATCCCCGAAATGCCAGTTAAGTTAGAAGATTTCCCCGATTTTGAATTGATTTATTTGATCCACAACTGTGGTTGGGAGAAAGTGATTAAAAGACCGCACCCAATTTATGAAAATTTGGTGAAGGAGTTCTGTGCCAACTTCAATACAGAAATAGACACACCTGGATCAGATCATCTACATCAAACATGGGTTCGGGGTAAATGGATTATATTTTCACCAGAAGTAATTCATGACTAGTATCAGCTAACCTGGAATAATGTGGTCCCAGTCCCGCATGATTTCAACTAGATTGAGGTTGCAGAAGTATTATTGGGATGTGAAAATGCTTGGTCTCTCCTTACTGCAGATTAGTATCAGATTGACCTCACCCCATCTATAACTATCCTATGGTTGTTCATATGCTACAACATCGAGCCCATATCTCGTAGGATAACATTCAAAAATCAAAAGGCGGGGTTTATCTATCATTTAGTTCGGGGAAACAAGATTGACTTGGCCACGTACATCTACAACCAGATACACATTACAGGCGCATGGGGAGACAGGCACACCTCGCTGATTTTCCCAAGCTTGATAAGTGGGATTTGTAGAGCTACAGGCATACAAGTTCAGCCTGGGGAGGCACCAGAGAAACCAAGTCCTTATATCAAGCGCCTCACACTCGAGGCCCAGGATCGAGCCAGAGTTAAACATCAACAGAAGTTGAAAAATGAGCGACGTCGACAGTAACAGGCTGAGGAAGGACAAGCAGTTGAGGACTTCGAAATGCCACAAGCTCCTCCACCACCGGCTGACATGGATACCCAGTTATTGAGGCAGATGTTTGCCACTATGACAGGACACGGCCGAGACATGCAGAGTCTTCAGCACTCATTTGGAGCACTGAGTACCACTATCCAGCAGGTGCAGATCGATATGGCAACCACAAGAAACTTCGCTTCCACTGCTAGCAGTAAGTCCCTTGCAGCGCGAAGACGGATGAGTACCTTTGACGGGCGATTGAGCATGTACGTTGGCAGGATGTATGGTATACATTGACGGGTAAACGAGACATGGGACCGTTTAGGAAGTTTGGAGACCAGAGTTTAGGCCATGCAGGTGGAGCAGACCCAGCATATTGAGAGAGATTTTATCCCGCCTTCCACCGTCTCCTGGAGATGCTGCTGCAGGACCCAGCATTCCATCACAACCACCATATTGATCAAGGGAGTACTGTTAACCCCATTTTGATTTTTCCTTCTTCATTTTATCCTTAAAATTATGTCCTTAATCTTTCGTTAATGTTACGTTGAGGACAATGTATTAACTAAGTTTGGGGGGTGACATAATTTTAAATCTTTATCTGTGTTCATTAGTATCTGTATTCCATTATTGCATAATGTGTGCATGATGAGTGTTTAAAAAAAATTTACATTTTATTCAGTTTGTTTTAAGTCATTTCATGCATGCTTATGTGAGCTTGATAACTTTGCTAGCTATGATGTTATTATTAAACTAGTTTAAATTGAAAAAACTTCGGATCTGGTGCTAATTAGACCAACTGATATTTGTTGATGCAACACTTGACATTATCTATGCACGCTATTTATGTTTGACATGTTAGATGAATGACTGGATTTTGAGCATAAAGTAGGTAAGAAATGATAACCCTCTATTGAATTAACCCGTAAACGACCTTAAGACAGTTTGGTGATGGTCGAGCTATTGTAGGGGAGCATTGAGATGAGCGGGGGGCTTCGTGTATGAATTTTATTATGTGGATTGCCTAGACCAGTGGGGTGAAAAGTAGGTGAAAATCTTAAATTGAGGGTTAGTTTTGGAAACTAAATGTCTAGAAAAACAACAAAGGGAAAAAATTAATATGTGAGAATAAGACACTTCTTTTCATGCCTTTATGACTCAAGCAAGTAAGTTTGTAAGGATATTTTAAAATCTGGTGCCCTAAGGTCAACTGGCCTGGGAGTCACCGGCCCAAAACTCGATACATGGATCATATAGAAAGTAAAAGGGAAAGAGGTAAATAAAAAATCATTTGATCGAGCCTTTATAACTCGAGTGAATAAACTTTCAAGGGTTTAAAACCTAGTGCCCTAAAGCCAATTGGTTCGGGAGTCACCGGCTTAAAGTTCGTTACATGGGTTATATAGAAAGTAAATGAGAAGATGATAAAATAAAAATAAAAAAAAGGCAATAATGAGAAGATAAAATTAAAAAAAAAAAAAAGAAAAAAAAAAAATAAAAAAAAAAAAAAGGCAATAATGAGAAGATAAAATTAAAAAAAAAAAAAAGACGATAACATGAAGAAAGCCCTTGAACATTTGGTTGAAGAAACTATACCTTTGAGGCGAGGCAAGTAACCTAGTTTAATCTTAAGTGTCGAAACAATCAAACTTAGGAGAGTCTTCACTTGTTGACATGTAAACTTGTGATAGTGAAATCAATCCAAACTACGAGAGGGTGATGACTACAGCTATGTAAATTCCTAATCTTAAAACATAACCCCCGGGATAATTGAGTGTAAAGAATAAGTTTGGGGGGTTGTGTATCTCTCGAGCGAGTAAGGATACATTTGACCACTTGGGGTCAGGATTCAAATTCATCATGAACCTGATATGTTGGCATGAATTCACACACACGTCAAATATGCATTTAACAAGTAAAGGTTGATGTCATTTTTATACTGATAAATTTTCATAAAGTCAAATACTTAGTTCAATCCTGAGCCACAATAGGGTATTAAGTCATGTTCGTTCAAAATTAAGTCACTATCTTGTTTGAGGACAAATAATAGTTCAGGTTTGGGGGTTTGATAAGTGTGTTTTTGCACACTTATTTAGGTCATAAACATGACTTAATTATGAGCAAAATGATTGAATTGTGACTTAATCTCGTTACATTTTGTGAATTATAGAAAACATCGATGAACATTGTGAAATTCAGGAGAAAAAATGCGAAAAGGACTAAAATGACGCAAAGTGAAAGTTTAGGGACCAAGGTGCAAGTATCCAAAAGTTGACCCAATGAACAAATCAAGAAATTGATTAAGCCAAATGCCAATTGATGATATCTTGGAATGATGAAATGAAAAGAATAAAGAAAAGATGTCAAGAAGTGAAAGATTCAAGTAGAAGGACCAAAATTGACTTTTTTCATAGTTGGTAGCACTATGCGACCCCTCTATGTGGTCGCATAGAGCAAGTCGGAGGTCGTATTCACAGTTTCCTTATTTTGCCGAAACTTTTATGGAAACAAGATTTTTAGGATCCTATATAAACAAAAACTCGACCAGAACGAGGAGACGTCATTTTTACAAGAAAAATGGATATTTTGAAGAAGAAAACGAAGAGAGAACAAGAGGAAAACATCGCGTCAATTGAAGATTGGATTGAAACTTGTTTCCGGTGATGACGTTTCTTCAACTATTTTTGTATTTTCTTCTTTTTAGCATGTTATGCTAGATTTTTCATTGTTAAGAGATCGATGAGCCTTACAATACTACGTTTGATTTTTGATTTGGAGATTTGACATATTTAAACGCATGTTTCGAAATTGAATGATTTATATGTTTTTATTTCTATGTTATTATTGTGCACGTAATTATATGATTTTGGTGGCCTGTTTTATGCATTCGAAAGAAGGAAAATAGGCTCGACATAGTATAAATTATCGTAGGGTCCGAAAGGGGATAGAAATATACCTCTATATTTTGTGTGAATTGTTAAATATTCATGAAATTATAATGCATTCCTGTATGTTAGTATTTGTCATAGAGATATAGTCGAATCACATATTGGAGTAGGTTTGGCATTGTTCGAGAGAGATTGCTAAATTAAAATAGGAATATTGATCCATCAATTGTGAAAATGTGTGTCAAATTTGCATAATTAAAAGTTGAACGGATGTTGTTTGAGAATTCGTGATCCTAGTGCGTTAATAAATTCATTAATTCCATAAATTCTCGTAGATTGCGTTCAGGTCATTTTGCATTTAATATATGTTTCTCAATCATAATTGCATCATAATTCACATCTTCTTTACTTAAATCATAATACATAAATTTTACTTTCGTGTTTCGATTAAGGTCATAATAGGTTGATTTGTACTAATTCAATCCTTGTAGGATCGATACTTGGACTCATACTCCATTTTACTACTTGTTAACGAACCGTAAACTTGCGGTGAGTTTTAAATTGAAAGAAATAATCTCGTGAACATAATGCTCTACAATGAAAAATTTAATGAATAAAGCTAAAATTAGACAGGTCACCTCCAATGAGAAAATGACACGTGTCCCCTTATTTTAAATTGTGTCATTAAAACCCGTTCACGTAGCTGGGTTAAAATTTAATTAAAATGTTGATTATAATTTATATCCCTGTTTTTACAATCAAAATACAAAATTAAAAAAATAAAATCAACCATGATACTCCTTCCCTTGGATATCAGATAAAATAAGCAAGCCGTCTTGTGGCATTTGAAAAAACATGACATTAGAACATAACTACGATTAAAAAAAAAAAGCATTTATGAAATACTTTTAATCATAGCATTTACGAAAAAGCATTTATGAAATACTATTTAGGACAGAACATAAACACAATGAGAAACAAGTGTTAAAAACACTATTAATTGTAGTATAGTTTCATTATGGTCTCATCTTTTCATTTTTCCCAAACTCATTACTCAACTTTCAATTTCATATCCATTAGAGCATCAACACTTTCTATCACAGATTGTACCAATACCTTACAAGTGGACAACAACGTTACTTAAGGGCAACAATATTCTATTTGAACTAAGAGGATAGGGCTGCTTGTACAGCCCCTTCACGTGAGGGGCCCACCATGAATAAAGAAAAATCCTAGCCCCCTATTGTGAGGGGACTATACATCATGCTGTTGTGTACACATAGCAAAGTTCGAACTAAGATTCTACATTCTGTGTAAGCCAAAAAGAAGGAAAAAAAAAACACAAAATATTCTTGGCACGTACGCATTGCCATTGTCCCTGTGCAAAATGCCTTCACAATCCATGGCGAAAATGGAGTTGATGCTTAACTGAAAAAATTGAAAGCAGAGCAATGGATGAAGTTATGGTACAAGGGGAAGAATTACTGGTACGTTTTCCCAGACTCTTTTAACATACAGAATAGCATATTCAACTATAGATTCTGAAACGCCAAGCAAAGTGAAGTAAACTGCATCGTTCCAGGGCCAAACCAGAGCTGCAAAAAAATTTCTCTACAGATTGACAGAAGGCCTCACTACGAAAACGTCACCATTTCAAAAACACTCAAATCAACATAAAGGGTATAAAAAAACCGATAAAAGAAAGCCCGATACAGTAATAATATTCAAAGCCTACATAGAAGGTACAATAATTTTAATAACTAACATTATGTTGAAGAAAACATCAACTGCACAGGAGCATATCATGTTATCATAGCCATTCTTGCCATGTAATTGGATATATTAAAAAAACAAAAGAGACAGCTTAATTCCCAGAAAACACATTAATATACTTACCAACCTAAACAAACTTTTCGATGCTGGTTGTCAATGTGGACTCTGGAACTGCACCAATAACTGCATCTTTCTTCTCTCCATTCTTGAAAATTAAAACAGTTGGAATGCTTCGGATTCCATAGTCGGTAGCAAGTGAAGGGCTTTGATCCGTATTAACCTTGTAGCATTTGAGCTTTCCAGCATATTGCTTAGCCAGTTTATCAATGACCGGGTGGATCATGCGGCATGGCCCACACCATGGTGCCCAAAATTCAACTAAAACAGGTAAATCGGACTCGAGCACAAGGGACTTCCATGTTGCATCAGTAATACCAGGCACTGCAGTTATTCAAGGATTAACAAACCGCTTTTATGATCACTACATAGGATCATAATAGCAAAGTTATCGCCAGAATGAATTACTGAATATGTAATTCACATGTCGAAACATATATAACAATGTGAAAATCAAGCCACATATCCCAAATACATAAATGTTAAAACTGCACTGATACAAGCCGCATCTTATTTTCACTCATCTACAAACTTCGTTATTTAGAGTTTATATAGGTCAAATCACTTTGGATAACTACACTTGTTGAAAGAGAAAGTTCATCAGATGTTATACCCTCATCAAATAATATATAATTTTGAAGTAGGTCGGATTTGTTGGTTGTTTATATGGGCTGGAATGAATTTGGTGGATTTGGGTTTGATATCTGAAGCCAGTCAAGTTTTTTCCAATATTAACGTATAATTAAAGGTACAATCTAAAAGTGTCGAGCGCTGCAACAAAATTTAACGACAAAAGGAACAAACAAAGAAATACTAAAAAACGAGCCTTCAACTTCAACCGCTGTGTTTTGTGCCTCGGCGACGATTCGACTACCAGGGCTAGGTAGTTTCCGAGGTGAACTCAGCGATGCGGATGATCGAGCCAGCTGGATCTTTAGGCCTCTGAACTCGGAGAATTTCACGGAGCTAGGGAGAAAAAAGGAACCTCCGGTTACCGGAGCAAAAGAGGCGGACCGCAAAGCGGAGGCGCGCGGGACAGTTATGATTTCCAATACACCAGCCATGGCGGAAAAATCAAAATTTCTCCCACAGAGATTTCGCGTATGGATAATTGGCAGTGTGGTGTAGCGAAATTTGTTTGGTTGGGGATACTTGGAGGATTAGATGATGAATGGATGAGTAGTTGTTACATTTACCTTTCATTCGATAGATATGGCATGAATACTATTGCAGCCCACATGCTAATTCCATTAACCTCCAGGGTGGATACGATCCATTTGAATTCATTTCGTAGAACTGTAAGCAAAAATCACAAAATCAAATCGAAATCGTATTTTAGAAATCGTCGGTTTTGAACCAAATCAAACTGGTCAAAATGATTTGATCTAAATTTGAGAATTTTAATTGCGGTTTAAAACTAAACCGGATTAACAAAAAAGTATAAAAATAAAAAAATAATTTTTTTGAAAATTCATCCAAATATGTAAAATTCAATAGTTTTGTTATTTGTGAGTATTTTTGTCAATTTCTAATTTTCTAATACATATATATATTATTATTACCTAATAATCCTAATTTATATCAAATGGTCTCAAAACTAACATAATCTATAAAAAGTCATTTTCCTCTTCAGAATTCAGATGAACTCCAGCCAACACCCGATATGGTCTTGAGCTATCGGCACCACACATACTTCTTCTTCAGATTTTTTACGCCTTTTTAAAGTTGAATTGTAGTCCATTATATCAAATCGAAGACAAAGAGATCCTAGACATTCGGTGATAATATTTGCTACGAATAAAGTTTCAAATCGATATTTTTTTTAAGCAAATTGAGGTAAGAATCTGAAATTAAATGCGTTTCGTAACAACATACAAATATAAGCTTGTGTAATTGTTATATTTAGATATTATAAACAACTACTTTATTATTGTAGTTGATTATTCTCTTTGTCTATTCACAGTTATGATGATCATGAGATCTTGTTGGATATCATTATGTTTTTTGGGCCTTATATCTCATTTAGTAGACTTGTATTATAACGTTATCATAACGTCATTAGCCTAAAACAGGTGAACAAAAATGGAAAAAATTATGTTTTAGTTTATTGTGATTTCACTTTGATTTAGTAGATATTTAAATTTATAATAAATATATCTAACCCCTATTCGAGCCATATTTTCCAAGTTATCATAATGATAAAATTAACCATTGGAGAGAAGGCTGAGTCCCACGCATAAAACAATAGGTCAACAAATGCAGTTGGTCTTGTAGGATAATTGTCCAAATTTTCATTTTTTTGTCCGAAAAATTTGGTTCAAACAAGGGCTTAGATTGTTTTAGATTTATTACTAGTAGGATATAAATATATATTGAACTCAACGAATTAATGTCATAAAAGTAGACAGACAAAAAAATATACGACGAAATCGGCGATTTAAAATCGGACTAAACCGTTAGATTTAGGTTTGAGTTTTTTTCAAACCGTTCAAAATGGTTTGGTTTAGGTTTGAATTTTTCTCAAATCGATTTAAACAGTTTGGTTTGAAAATTTGTCAAAAATCGGTAAAATCAAACCGCTTACACCCCTACCGGTTCGTAGAGAAGCGAACCCCTATCGAGGATCATGAGTTCCAAATGTAATTATGGAACCAAAAATGACAAAATCATTCAATTGAGTCAAATAAGGAAAATTCACAAAATATTAATTGAAGTTTCATAATTGATTGAATCAAACACGTTAAGACAATTCGTTTTGGATATTCAATTTCTGATACTATAATCGGGAATCGAATTGAGCGAGCAAATTCTTCATTATAGTACACGAATTTGTTTAAAACTTAAGCAGTACTAGATTTAATTCTTCCATTTGATTTGGTACATATATCGACCCGTACATAAACCAAAGATGACCTATTTTATAGCAACTAGTTGTGATTCTGTCAAATTCTGTCAAAAGAAGCTCGACCGTAATGGAGATGTGTGTAGATTATATTTGAATTCGGCTAAGTTCATACGTCTCAAGTTATTTTGTGTCCAATTCAAATGTGTATTAATTGAACACAACTATTTTTGAGGCAACAAGTAACCCATGTCTAATATAATTTTATTTGATTCACAATCAGAGCGACCTTTACCGTAAGTAGAAATTCTACTAGAAAAGCTTGATTATACGAAAATGTCTCAACTATAGTACATATTTGGAAAGTGTTTATATACAATTTAAAAACATATGGAAACAAATGACGAAGTGAATAGTACTTTTGGATCTTTAAAAAAAAAAAAAAGGGATCATCGACTTTACCAGAAATTTTACAAGCACATCACCCTATTTATAGGCCATTTTGGCCAAAGTTACATACGACACTAAAGAAAATTGACAAAGGCCTTATATTTATTAATAACTAGTGAAGGCACGCGCGTTGCACGTGTAGTGGGTGATGTAGTGTAAGTAATAATGTTATAATTTACTAATCAATTGAGTATGATTTAAGAGTCATATGCATAATGCCTTGTTAGTAAACAGCCAGAGGTGGTCAATCTAAAATTATAGAAAGAAAAATGAGACGAAAGTATTTGCTCTAAATTTATAGAGAGAACTAACCTTGTATAAAGTACTATGAAATTCTCTTTCTATGATTTTACCTCCTAAGAAACTACCCACAAACTCTATTTAGATAGGATTTCTAAGACACTCCATCTAGATGCGTAAATGCAAACACATGAATGTATATCCAAGAATATGAAAGCAATGAACATGTAAGTACGACAGTATGTGAATTACTATCAGGACCTAATGGAAACATGAATGTAAATTTATGTTAATTATTATCTAACATACATAACAGTCATATGATATAGATAGAGATGGTTCACCATTGAAAAAAGCTTCCCGAGCACCAGCTACCATCCCTGATTATACCCTGCATTTGCAACAAGATGTCTAGTTGAAAGATGCACAAGCACAGATAAGTGACTGTGATCAATAAAAGAATACTAATCTGTTTGCAAATAAGCTT